TGTTTGCTTCTTATAGTACTAAAAGAGACAATGAAACGTGCCTCTCAGATGATCATTTCAGCAAGTCCCTGTTGCTCTGCAGGGAATATTTGTTTCCTCATTTATATTCATGTCTCTAAAAGACAAGTAGACCTTGGATGAAATTTCAGGCGACAGTAAATTATAAATAATGTATTCATTTTTTTTTCTCTTCCATACTACTTGTATTAAATTCCCCCAGAGTCTTATGCAAACACCAGAGACAAGAGGACAGGAAGCTATTAACATGATGGAAATTATGAAATGGGCTTATGTTATGTGGCAGGAACACAACAAGGAAAGACATCTTGGTCAAAGGAGGTTTTTGATGTTTTATTGGGGCAGGTTCTTTTCTTTTCTTCTCTTTCTTTTGTTTTTTTTAAGAATGTCTCAACTCTTTTCCAGACCACTAACTAGGTATTTGCTTGAAATGAGTCTCTTACCTTGGTCCGCTCAGGACAAGGTGAGGGTTTATCAATGGGTGGAAACTTCTTTGGAGCCCAACTTTAAGAATTTTTGTTCCATAAGAGAGAGAAGGAAAAAAAAAAAAAGAAAAAGCAACCACAGGTATCACAATAGAGGGCCTTGGCCAGAGTGGGAGAAAAATATAGAACAAAATTCAAACTCACACACACACGCACACACACACACACACACACACAAATACCAGACTTACTGGTCAGACAGAGACTGTAGGAACCCCTGAGACTATGGCCCCTGGACACCCTTCTAACTCAGAACTGAAGCTACTCCTGAGGTTCACCCTTCAGCCAAAAACTAGACAGGTCTATAAAACAAACAATAACACATGTGAGCAACATGCTTCTTAGTTCAATCACGTATACGAGACCAAATGGGCAACACCTGCCCAAAAGCAACGATGAGACGGCATGAAGGGACAGGAGAAATGGACAGATGGAAATGGGGAAACTGGGGTGGGGAAGGGGAGAGTGTTGATGCATTGCAGGGATTGCAACCAATGTCATTAAACAATGTGTGCATAAATTGTAGAATAAGAAAAGAATTTGCTCTTTAAACTTTCACCTAAAGCACAATTAAAAAAAAAAAAAAAAGCAACCAAACCAGTTGCCTTCAAGTTGATTCTGACTTATGGCGACCCTACATGTGTCAGAGTAGAACTGTGCTCTATAGGGTTTTCAGTGGCTGATTTTTTCAAAGTAGATCACCCGGCTTTTCTCATGAGGTGCATCTGAGTGGATTTGAACCACCAACCTTTTGGTTAATAGCAGAGTACAGTAACCGTTTGTGCCATCTAGGGACACCATAAGAGAAGATGATAGAAAACACTCAGGATGATCAGCTGAGATCAGCCAGCCCTAAGAACAGGATGCTGCTGCATAGAAAGGCCAGGTACTGTCAATGAAAGGATGCTGGTTGCTAGAATGAAATTAACCTCTCAACCTATCAGCCCTGGTTTGTCATCCCATACGAGGCTTCGAGTATTCCTTGGACTTTTGCTCAGCAGGAGTAGTGCGTACCTGAGGGGGCCATGCTGACATTACTCCAATCTTGTAAGTGAAGATACTCTGCTCTTCTTCAATTTTACATCTTTCCCTTCTTGGTAACATCCCCATTGCCACCCTTAGGAAGCTGGTACTCTTATATTCTCTTCCTCCTCTACCCTTAACAGAATCTGGGGGGATGGCACAAGCAATGAGGACTCATTAATATTAAAATGAAAATAACTGTATAGGCTTCATATAATTTATTCAGGGACATTTGCTTTTGGAGTGGCAGAGTCTGAAATTAGAGGGATTTTGGGCATTATACTCTGCAGTAGTACTTCTGGATGTACCCCATCCTTGCGAGGGGTATTGAGAGTCCTCTCCTCCTGGGGCTTTGGTTTACACTATGAGCACACTATGACTGCTCTGCAGCTGGGATTTAACTATTTGATTCAACCAACATTAGATCATGTTGGCTATGTGCCAGGCTTTGTGCAAAGCGCTTTCACATATGTTATTTCTGTCCTTGAACTTTTCCTTCTGCAACCTGAAGTGATTTTTTTTTTTTTTCCAGTGGGTTCTGATGAATCTCCAAGACAAAGCCTGCAGGATTTGGTGTGCAGCAGTGACTTAAATTTGAATGTGAGCTTTCCATCAAAATCCCACAAAAGCTTCCAAATCTGGACATGTCTTTTCCATGTACCAGAGGCTGGTCCTCCTCTGGTACTCCAGACTCTACATGGAGCAGCTCGGTCAGTAACTACATTGATTGTACAGGCAATTCAGTTGGGCTCTTTCATTTTTTCCTTTCTGAGTTGGCATTGGTCAGTGCCCCAGGAACACAGTGTCAATTGGAATCTCCTCAAAAGAAACCTAAAATACACCCTAGTGGTCTCCTGCATTGTTCACAAAACAAAGACACTAGCCTGGCCTCCTCTCCAGATTTCCATGTGGGCTGTTAACCCTCTGATTACTTGATCCTGCTGAGCCCCCAGGCAGATTTGGAATCTGAGATCAAAAGTCTTGCATACCCCTTGGGGAGGTTTCATCTAAGCGAGGGTCATGGTGGACACAGAAGCTGGTCTACCTTTCAGCCCAGAGGGATATGGAGCAAAACACAGTTGTAAGATACTGCAAAAACTTCAGGAATATTGTCATATGGCTCACAACAGGTAGCTGTGGCATTACCAGGACGGGAATTAAAAGCTCATGCTACACTGAGCAAGCATTGAAACCCACGCATTTTAGGGATGAAATGATTAGCTTAGACCTAATAAATATGCAAACCTGGAGCTCTGTTCAAGTGTCTACTGTCGGTGTCCTTATTACGGGAAAGAAAGTCTTAATTCAGTGAAAAGCTCTCATCCATGGGTCTTGGGCTGGTAGTTTGGAAAATGGGACCATGGAGGACCCTTTAATCAATCTGTGAATGTGCAGGGAAAAGCTTAAATAAGATGAGGATAGCACCTTTGATCTAAGACACCCTTTGAAAGGGCATATAGGATGAGCATAAGTGACTTCAGCCCCACAAAGAGATCAAGTGTCCTCCAAGTTCCACTCGGTAAGGACGCATCTCTGGGTTCATGCCTTGACTGTATGACCAAGGTGTATTTTTATTTTTTAATTAAAAAATTATTTTTATGATTAATGTGCTCACTATAGGAACTTTGTGGGGTATCGAAAAAGAAGGAGAAAATAGGACTCATTCACAATCTCATCATGTAAAGGACCATTGGTGGCATTTTGGTGTATTTGGGCCAGTGTCCTGCTTTGTCATTTAGAACAAGTCCAGTGGGGGAGGCACCTGGGCTGAGGCTGGAGGACTTTCAATCACCTCTCTCTGGGTCTGAGGGAATGGTGTTTGGGGTGTGGACAGAACCCAGTCTGGTACTCTGAGATGGCAGATCATCTTTAGGGGTAAGGGTGTACTCAGAAACATGCTCACGCTTGTCCCACACATATGCACACCCATGCCCCAGAATGTGGGGCGAGGGGATAATTCAAAGTCTAGGCTGGGCAGCCCCACACTGCAGACTGCAAAGAGGATCCATGGGAGGTGGCAGAGGGGCATTAACAGCATGGGCCCCAGAGTCAGAACATCTGGGCTCAAATCCTAGCCTTCCTACTTAAGAGCTATGGGATCTTGGATGAGTTACCTCACCTCTCTGTGGCCCAGTTCCCCCATCTATGAGTAGAAATAATAGTATATAGTACGTAGGCTGTTGTGAGGATTAAATTAGGTAATACATGAAATACAGTTAGAACAGTGCCTGGCAAATAGCACTGAAAGGTTATATATTGGTTTATTTGCTGTTATTATAGACATTAAACCAGTTGCCATCAAATCCATTCCAACTCATGATGACCCATACGTATCAGAGTAGAACTGTGCTCCATAGGGTTTTCAGTGGCTGATTTTTCAGAAGTAGATTGCCAGGCCTTTCTTCTGAAGCACTTCTGGGTGGACTCAAATCTTCAACTGTTTGGTTAGCAGCCAAGCATGTTAACTGTTTGCACCACCCAGGGACTCCATTATAGACATTAGCACACTCTTATCTCTTAAGAGCATTTTTCAAGTGTCTCCTGCTGACTTCAATGGGGACAGGCAGCAGGAATATATGGATTTAGAGACAGATGACCTCAAGGTTTGACCTGCCACTTACTAGCCATTTGATTTCTGCTTACCTCAGTTTCATCATCTGTGAAATGGGGATAATGAAACCTTCCTCACCAGTGGTTGAAAAGACTGAGTTGAGACCACAGGGATGCAAAAGTGCTTTGTGTATGGGGAAGAACCATAGATTTAATATTAAGGCATTACTAGGGTCACTATGAGTCAGAATCGACTCGACAGCAACGGGTTTGGTTTTGGTTTGGTTATTGCTAATTTTACCAGACAAGTCTCTGATTCCAGGCAGCAGAGTGGGGAAGGAGGGAGGAACAATCTTTGCTGGAAAAACACTTGCAGAATAGCTGAACAGGAGCCTGATGTCTTTACTTGGTGCATTTAGCTGGCTTAGATGGACCAGGGAAGTGCACTGCTGTTCTGTGGTTGCCTTGGTAGTGAGACGTTTCTTGCAGTGCAGGGGTGGATTCCTTAATAACAAGGTAATTACCTTGCTCACTGGGTAATCTGCCCCTGTCAAGGATTGTAAATTTGGAAAGAGTCTTTGATTCTGTAGGAAGGTGCTGTGGGGTTGGGAGAGAGACAGATACCAGCCATACCTAGAAGCAGAATCTTTGATGTGGGGAAAAAAATGTGAAACTGTTCACTACAGATGATCTGGTAAGCAAGTTAATCACCGTGCTTACCTTGCCTATTGGATAATCTGCCCCTGTTGCAGTGTCTTGGGAGCGAAGAAGGAAAGAGTAGAAGAAATAACTCTTTTCCTCGGCAGGAAGGTAACTGAGTTACTTTGATAGGCTCCTCCCAGGACAAGTCTCCGCAGAGCGTGCCGAAGAGCCAAACATCACACAGGAGAGAAGAAGGCATCAGAGTGGCCACAGCTCCCTCACCTGTGATGAAGGTGGTCGAGGTGATGCTGCTCCGCATGGTGTCCTGGGCCGCCTGCAGGAGCACGGTGTAGTCTGTGTTCTCCAACAGCCCCTCCAATCGGATCCATGTGTCCTCTGCATCCACAATCAGCTCCTGCATAAGGGGCCAGTGGAAGGGAGGTGGAAGGGAGTGACGAGCCCACAGTATGGGGAAGTGGGGAAGGGAAGTCCAGATTCCATGGCTAGCTAGGACATTAGATAGAAAGTATTGCAGTGGCCATGTTTGTCTTCTCCATCACCCAGTAAGGAGGAAACCAATAAGCAGAGAGGACAGCTCCTATGTGAGACTTAGGTCACCTCCTATCTCACAAGTGAACATTGGGATAAGTGCACCTCGATTATGAAATCCATTGGTTTTCAGAAGACACCGGGCTTTCTTGAGAGTTAAGGAAGAAGCTCAGAAGCAGGATTCTAGCCTCCCCTAATCCCATATCCAACAGAGTAGCTCTGCTTAAATCTAGTATTGTGTATATACGGCTTCTGCATATGATTTCACTTTAAAAAAAGGATTCCACTAGTCAGAAAAGTTTCAAAAGCAGGGCTCCAGATGGACTGTTTTGACCGATGATATAAAACAATACCTGTCATCTCTTTACTGTAGGTCAGACAGATGTAGCCTTTAAAATGCTTATTAAGAGGCATAAAAAGCTGTTGAATTGGTTATGCAGCCTATGTTTGCTTGACCCTGTGGTGAAAAATAGTACCAATACCATATACTTGTATAGACTCTGAAGCTTTGCATCATTATTTTGGAAGAACCACCAAAACTTAGTGAAGCTGCAGGAGTAGATGCCTCTATTATCTAGGGGGAGAAACTGAGGCTTGGAGAGTTTTACTGCTTCACCTCAACTTGTGTAGAGAGTGGATAGTGGAGCCAGGATCAGAACCCAGATCTCATGGCTCTTTCCTCCACCGCATGCTCTACATCCTTGATGGGGAACCTAGTTCTTCTGTGGATTGCTTCCTTCTATCCTCCCCCACCCCGCCCCCCATTTCCACTGGTCGTTTGAGTGGCCTTGCTTGATAGAAGTGGTCTTCCCCCTTTTCAACAAAATCTCACCTTCCGGCTTCCATCGGTGGACTTGTAGGTCAAGACGTAGTTCTCAATCTCTGCCCTGGGAGGCTGCCAGGAGATGAGGGCACTCTGTCTGGTGACTTCACTGGCCGTCAGGTTTACAGGAGGGTCGAGGACTGCAAAGAGGAGAACATTCTGGGATGTGCCTGCCTCTCAGCTCCTCTCTGCTTGATTCCAGGCACATGGATCTATGTGCCCACCTCTGTGTCTCAGAGCTGCTCACAGGCTGACCTCAGTGCTGGCTAGGACAGGAGCATCAAGAGTGCTCCTGGGTCAGAAGATAATCATTCAATGTCATGATCACCCTTGCAGCCAGTCCCCCCTTCCCTCACCCCGGCCTCTGGGCATGGGTTGTGACTTCTAATCTAACCTGCTATGCCTGGGACCATGATCTTGTTAAACTTGCATGTCTGTGAGTCCACTCTTGAATTTACCACATTTCCACACCTCTACTTTTGTCTACTGCTCTCCTGGTCATGACCCCACCCAGCAGCTCTTGCCCTGATATCTAGCCCCTTTAATATCTGTTATGGATTAAATTGTGTCCCTCCAAAATATATATTGGAATTCCTACCCTTATACCTGTGGATGTAATCTCATTAGGGAATAGGGCTTTCTTTGTTATGTTAATGAGGCCATATCAGTGCAGGGTGTGTCCTAACCTAATCACTTCTGAGTTACAAAAGAGCAGATTACACACAGAAGCAAGTACAAACAGGGGGAAGATAGATGCCATGTGAAGATCTCCAAGGAACTGAGGAAGGCTGAGGCTACAGATACTGAAAGAGACAAGGATTTTCTCCCAGAGCAAACAGAGAGTCTTCCCCTAGAGCCAGTGCCCTGAATTCAGACTTCTAGCCTCCTGAACTATGAGAAAATAAATGCCTGTTCTTTAAAGCCACCCACTCGTGGTATTTCTGTTATAGCAGCACTAGGAAGCTAAAATAATATCCATTGAACTTTTCTGGCTAGGCGCATTCCCAGCCCTGGTCTCTCTTGGCCGAGCTCTACTGCTGTCACCCAGACCCAGGGTGGGAGCAAAGAAAGATTCGTGTCTGCTGGCTGAGAGCTGCCTCTCACTTTCACTAGGAGTTGGGCTGGAATCAGCAAAAATAAGAATAGCTCATAGCTGCACTGCCAAAAACTTATAGACTATAATCCAGTCCACTATGAGGAAACCAATCATTCTCAGGGTCCACAAAAGCCTTCAGAGATACTAAGTACGCAGATGACCAGGTACTCACGGGTGGAGAAGTTCGTGCTGATGGTGCCACTGGTGAGAGGCCCACTGGTGGCATACATGGTGACAGTGTAGTGGGTACAAGGAAGTAGGTCAACAAGCTGAAATTCCTCATTGACTCCATCAACCAGGATGGTCTCTCCAGCAACTAAAATCAGATGAATATGAGTAAGGATTGAGTTTAGGAAAGACCCACAAAATCCAAAGGCATTTCACAAGACCCGAGTATTCGAGAATTTTGGAAAAATCTCTTAGAGATTATCCAATTTAGCATCTTATTCAATACAAGGATCCCCTCTCATCCCTTTCTACATCTTTATTGGGCAAATATTCCTTATATGAAGGCCAAATTTTCTTCTTTATAACTTGTATTCAGGCCTTTGGAGTTGCAAAAAATAAGCTACATTCTTTGTTTACATGAACCCTTCCTCCCCACCACTCTTCCTAACCAAGACCTCTCTTCTCTAGACTAAGGAAATTCAGTTCCTCCCCAATTGGAAATTGTCACAATTCTAAAACCCCTCACAATCCTGGCTGCTTTTCTCTGGACAAGCAACAGTTTATCTGTGTCTCGTTTGAAGTGCAAAAACTCAGAAGAGAGTTGAGAATAATAATTGAGATGTACTGACCAATGAAGCAAACAGGGTCGGCCTCTGCTTTTATTTGTGCCATTTGTATTACTCCATTAAGTTTTTTAACAGTCATGTGATACTGTTATTATAGGCTGAGATTACTGCTAACCAAAGATTTTGTTTGTAATCCCCTTCTCAACCTTGTGCAGCTGATATTTTTGGATCTATGGGCAGAACTTTACATCTATTGCATGTTGCCTTGTTGATTGCATATTGGACCACTGTTTCAGTTTATTAAAATATTTTTGAATTTGGATTCTATCAATCACAGCTTTGTTTTACATACAAATTCGGTAAGCATGTCTTCTCTGTATTCTTTCAAGCTGTTGGTAAAACTGTTCCTTAGATCAGGGCCAATCCCACTACTGTGCTGTTAAAATACTCCTGAGTCATTCAGCATTTAACAAAAGAAGTTTACCAGACACGTTTCCAAAGCAGATTGGGCCTAAGGTTTCAAGTTTCTTATAGTCTAAAGGCAAAGAAAGGCACGCAAGTAAGTTAAAATCCAAACTAACTCTTTGGCAGAGACCAAATCTTTTTAGAATCTTCCTTTGCAACATCCCACCATCATTTAATGCTCTAGCCGTATCCTCATGCTCTCTCCAAAAACCCATTGCTGTTGAGTCAATTCCAGCTCATAGTCACCCTGTAGAACAGCATAGAACTGCCCCATAGGGTTTCCAAGGAGCAGCTGGTGGATTCAAACTGCTAACCTTTTGTTTAGCAGCTAAGCTTTTAACCACTGCACCACCGGGGCTCCCATGCTCTCTCAGACCTCTGCAAATGCACACAGGCTGCTCTTTTTCTTTCTTTCTCCTCTTCTCTTTTTTTAAATTTAGCCAAGACCTACCTCCTTTCTTCCCCTCAACCCCCTTGCCTCAAATCATAGTGACCCATTGCATGTGGTCCATCGTGTTCCGTGCTTGCCTCTATCATGGCACCCCTCACATTGAGTTGTAACTATTCGTTTCTCTGAGTTGTCTCTATACAGTGAGTTCTGTGTTTTGTGTCTGAATTCCTATGGCCTTGTAGAATATCTGGCACATGGGAGGTCATCAAAAGTATTTGTTGAATGAGTAGAAGTTAATTGCTATCATGGGACTGTGCACTTTGTATCTATGAGCAGGTACATCTGACTGTCTTGGGAGAATACGAGAAGCTTTAACAGAGGAGATAGTGTTGAAACTAAGACTTGAAGGATGGGCTTTCTAGGTAGACAAGTGGGGAGAGAATTTCCTGGAGAAGGAAACAGCTTGTGCAAATGCATGGAGGCTTGAGAAATCATGGGAGAGTTAAGAAATATAAGATCATTGTTATAGGTTGAATTATGTCCCCCCAAAAATATTTGTTGTAAATCCTAACCTCTATGCCCGTGGTTATAATCCCATTTGGGAATGGATTGGCTTTGTTATGTTAATGAGGCAGGATTAGTGTAGGATGCATCTTGAGTCAATCTCTTTTGAGATATAAAAGAGATTAAACAAGCGAGCACAGCAGAGATGGGTTAAGGTAGATGCCCAGACACATGGAGATCTCCAAGGAATCAGGAAGCAGAAGCTGAAGAGACAAGGACCTCCCTCCAGAGCCAGAGAGAGAAAGCCTTCCCCTAGAGGCGGCACTCTGAATTTGGACTTTTAGACTCCTAAACTGTGAGAAAATAAATTTCTGTTTGTTAAAGCCATCCAGTTGTGGTATTTCTGTTATAGCAGCACTAGATAACTAAAACAATCATGATATGCAAGAAGGAGAAGAAATGTGCACACACACAGAGGGGATAGGATATATTCATAGCAATGATATTCATTCCTTGAGGAGGTTCATTCAATCAGCTACAATTTCAGCTAACTCCAAATATGGCCCATCACGCAATTTTCTATCTTAAGAAAGGATGAAGTGATAAAGTGAGTTTTTCTAATGCCTTGCTGAAATATGAAGGTACTACCCAATTTGCTGATAAAAAAGATAAATATAAAGTGGGTTTGGTAAAATTATTCTTAGTTAACCTGTGCTGGTATGTAGTAATCACTAGTTCCTTTTCCAATTTGCTGAACAGTCTGTTTTAGCTTTTACTCTCCCAAGCTTGGACAGTGAGTTGACTTCTTTGTAGCTTACAGAATTGGCTTTCTCTGCCATGTTTGGAAATCAAGACATCTGCCTGCCTTCTGTTTTTTGGCATCCCTGTTCTCTGAATTCCTGAATATAATCCACAGAATTCTCTGACCACATGTATAATTTAGGTAGGGAAATAATTTTCTATAATTTTTGTATTATTCTATAAAAAATAATAATAGACTTGGGGTACCCAACACTATTTTGTTTTGGGCTTCTCTAGTCAACTTTAAATAGCATAAGGTGAACAAACATGGTGAAGAAGACACTGAAACTCGAAACTGCATGTTGGGTCAACTGTTTGAGCTGGATATGGGTACAGAAGACCAAATAAGAGGAGAGTTTAGTAGTTCCAAATCCCCTGTTACCTGTTATCATGCATTATCTGCTCCAAGTGTGGTCCTATAACTTCAGTGTTTTTCTTACTCTATAAATATCTGGAAAAGTCTGCTTTCTTATCCTTAGCATTTTGGGGCAAGTCTCAGCTCATTCTGAGTTTGTTCCTCCTAGTGCTATTCCTCTGCTTTTGCATTTGTCTTTGGTTACATGCCCTTCTCGCACCTTTCAGACTCAGCTTTCTCAATTCTCATAGCTGATACATTTCACAGAGTTTGGAGACATCTTGAGGAATTTATAGTGTAACCAAAGCGGGAAAACTTCTAACTTGTCCCGTAGATTGACAAAATGCCTTGTTTCTTCACCTTCATACTGGTCTGCAGGCCCCACCCCCACCATTCCCACCTGCCTGGTGTGCAGGCCTGCAGATGCCCACCTGCAAAGTGTGTGAGAACAATAACGTAGTTCTCCACTTCACCCACGGGCGCCTTCCACTGCAGCAGGGCTTCTGTTGGAGTGATATTGGTAGCAATCAGATCTACAGGATTGTCCATGGCTGAAACAGAATAGGAGAGTATGCGTTAAAGGGAAGAGGAGCTACCGGCTGAAAGTACAGCAGACTCTTATCCCAGGAAGTTTCACCCATTGTGCACTTCTGCTTCTGGGCTGCACAAAGTGGTGGAGTGAGTGGAGACCTCTTCCCTGTCTCCCCTTCTAGTTCCATCAGCTCCTTCCTCCTCTACCATCCTTCTTCCTCCCAGATACCTAGTTGTCTCATTGTCCCCAGCTCTTCCTTTCCATTTATTCATTAACTTCTTATGTGCAGAGCATTATGTCAGGTGCTGCAGAGGATTCCAAAGTGGTATAAGTTATTGCCCTTGTTTTTCTGACATTTAAATCTAGATGGAGCAATTAAGAACACTTAGAAGTGGTTATATTTTTCTATTTAATGAGATAACCACATTTGCCAAGCGTCATGGATTGAACTGCATCCCCCAAAAATATCTGTCAACTTGACTGGGTCATGATTCCTAGCATTGTACAATTGTGTACAATTTTGTAAATCTGATGTGATTTCCTTATGTGTTGTAAACTTTATCACTATGATGAAGTTATATGTGATTTCCTTACGTGTTGTAAACTCTATCACTATGATGAGGTTATACTGATGAGGTCTACAAGACTGGATAGTGTCTTAAGCCAATCTCTTTTGATATACAAAAGACACATGGGAACCTCATACCACCAAGAAAGAAGTGCTGGGAGCAGAGCGTGTCCTTTGGACCTGAGGTTCCTGCACTGAGATGCTCCCAGACCAAGGGAAGATTGATGCAGCATAAGGACCTTCCTCCAGAGTCAAGAGAGAGAGAAAGCCTTTTCCTGGAGCTAATGCCCAGAATTTGGACTTGTAGCCTACTAGACTGTGAGAGAATAAATTTCTCTTTGTTGAAGCCATCCACTTGTGGTATTTCTGTTAGAGCAGCACTAGATGACTAAGACACCTAGATATTTGCACTTTCCTAAATGTAGGGGGTGTGCCTTGCGGAAAGCTCTCCACTGAGGAACTTCAGGAAGTGTGGTGGGAGCTCCATGAGGACAGGGGTAGCCCCAGCACCTAGAACTTAGAAGGTACTCCATAAATATTTGTAGAATGAATGCATAAGACCCAGGTTGCCCCTAATGTCACATCTGATTATTGAATTCTTGCTTGCTTCACTACTCACAAGGCTCATTCAGTACTGAGTCCTAGGCATCCTTTTTGTGGCATAGATAGTCAAGGGGATTCTTGCAGGTTTAGGGAGGTCAGAGCACTTTCTGTTAATGCAGAGTTTACTTTATTCTCTATTGCTCATGCCCTAAGCCTTTGCTTTATTACTATGCCTGTCTTCCATGAAGTTGGGATTTATTTTAGAAATGGATGTTATTACAGTAGTGTCTTAGTCATCTAGTGCTGCTACAACAGAAATACCACAAATGGATGGTTTTAATGAAGCGAAGTTTATTTCCTCACAGTCAAAGTAGGCTAAAAGTCCAAATTCAGGGTGTCAGCTCCAGGTGAAGTCTTTCTCTCTCCGTCCGCCTTCTCATCAGTGTTCCCCCGGACTAGGAGCTTCTTGGCACAGGGACCCCTGTCCAAAGGACGTGCTCTGCTCCCAGTACCGCTTTCTTGATGGTATGAGGTCCCCCTGTCTCACTGCTCACTTCTGTCTTTTATATCTCAAAAGATTGCCTCAGGACACAATCCAGTCTTGTAGATCAGGTCTTGCCTTACTAACACAACTGCCTCCCATCCTCATTAACATCATAGAGGCAGGTTTTACAACACACAGGAAAATCACACAATACCAGGAATCATGGCCCAACCAAACGATACACACATTTTTGGGGGGGACATAATTCAAACCGTGACAAGTAGTTTAGGCATCAACTCAACCTAAGCCTCATGTAATTTACTTTTTGGGACCAAGATCTATTGTTGGTTTGAGTCTGCTCTCTAATGGAAGGTTTTCTCCCCCTTGCGTATGTTTCTCATCTCAAAGCAACAACCAGAAAATATTTTTACAATTTTTGGATTTGAATTGTATCCATAATCTGTGCCTTCAGAATTCTTCAGATGAAGTCCTTGTGGACTATGAACGTCTTGATCTCTCTGACACTAAATACGATACCGTGAAAGAGTACTCATTTCCAAAAATTCTAAAATCATAGACCTCAGGTAAAAACAACAACAACAAAAGAAGACATTTCAATGAATAATAGGATTTTGGAAGTTACCACAATAGCTCTGCCTATGCTTGAATAAGGGCAGTTCGGGTTGGTGCACCACAGACTATCTACTTTAGAACTACTTGCTGCTTGTGACCAAGAATCCAAGAAATGAGTTTCTGACCTGAGTTCCTGCTCTTTTTTACCTTGGGGGTAAGAGGTTCTTGAAATCTATTTTACTGTCCTTAATGTCAAGTAAAATAGATTTCAAGACCCTCTTACCCCCAAGGTGAAAAAGAGCAGCAACTCAGATCATTATGTGTCAGAATTGACTGGACAAAAACGGGTTTTTTAAAAAATTTTTTTGGTTCGATGAATAAAAAGCCTAATTTCTTTATCATGGATTTCTAGAACTCCCAGGAAGGTGGACTGTTGTTTTGGTGAATTGCCCTTGAGTTGATTTCGACTTGTGGTGACCCCGTGTGTGCAGAGTAGAATTGCTCCATAGGGTTTTCAAGGCTGTGACCTTTCGGAAGAAGATTGCTGGGCCTGTCTTCTGAGGAGCCTCTAGGTGGGTTTGAACCACCAATCTTTCGGCTAGTTGTTGGGTGTTTAACTGTTTGTGCCACCCAGGGACCCCTTAGGAAGGTGAGAGGGAGCTTCTTTTGGGTCGCTGGTCATCACTTCTGGTCAGTATTTGTTGATACTTTAATGACCACGGATAATTTAATGGGTAGGGTAAGATTCCATTTAAAAACAAACAAACAAACCAAAAATATGGCTGGGTTATCTGCAGTCATAGGCCTGGAAGGAGACTGGGGAAGTTTAGGATATCCTGTAGAGTCTTTAAAAGATTTTTTTTTTTTTTTTACTTCTGAAGGAATATTTCTTCAACTATTGCCTTAGAGATCCTGTCTCTGGGCTTGTGAAAGCATCTACAAAAGCAGTGAGGAATTCCAAGGCACCTTTCCCTCCTTCAGGGAATACCATTCTCTGAGGAAATTAAGCAACCTCAGGAAATCCAGGTGTTCTCCTAATGAGGCATGTTGAATGTTTCCCATGTACTATGGAAATGGTAACTTAACTAGGTCTAGGGGTTGGCTGTCCCCTCTGGTTATTTCTACATCAAGTCTTTGCTAGCTTTGCATGGTTGAGTGGCTGAGGGGAAGGAGAAGGAGTGGCAGTGGAGCTGCTGAAGAAGCCCTGTTCTTGGGCCCTTCCAAGGGCCTTGTTTTCCAGAGGAAGAACACCGCCTTCTTCCTCTCCTGAGCACAGAACAAAAGCAAATGCAGCTTCTACCTGGGGGATTTTGGCCACATATGTTAAAGCACTCCCTGACTCCAAGGGTTATTATTAGAATAACAACTCTTTCCTTGTCTGAGCTCTTTTAAAAAATTAGATGGATTCATCTGGCATGATTCAGATGTCCATGCTGGAGTTCCCTTCCCTCATGTGTCTTTGAAAAGTCACTTTCCAAAAGCGCAGTTCCTAACCTAAACGAGTGAGACTCCTAGACGGTGACTCTCTAAACTTCTGGCTTTAGGTAGGAATGTGAGTGGGGAGAAAAATTATGAATTGCTTTGCATGAGATAGTGAGTCAGGGGAGCACCCAGCAATGGACCCTCAGACCCCAGGACCAGGGTCCTCTATCAGCCAACTTCACCATTTGCCTCTTCTGTTCGTTGCAGGTTCTCAGCCATGGCTCAAGCCTGACATACTGATGGGGCCTGTGCCTACCTGTGTGCACGAGAGTGCAGATGCGCTCACTCTCCTCCCTGCCCCGCACGCTGTTGAGGCTGATTTCGTATTCAGTAGCTGGGTACAGTCTGGTGATGGTGAATTCTGTCACAGTGTTGGGCACTACAGAGCTGTCCAGCCGTCCCACTAAGGAAGAGCAGAATCCACGGTTAGAGTTCAGCAGATCTTTCATCAATGTGGCTCATGGTACAGTCTACATAGGAGCTCATGGCAGTACTTTGTCATAAAGCACAGATAGGTAAGGGTCTCAGCACTAAGTGGGGATGGAAGAGAAATGATCCATGAACAGAGAATGCTGGAACTTGAAGAGACCTTACATACTGGTTCCACCTCCTCATTTTACAGACTCCTCGGAGAAAAGAACCATTTATTAGGTGGTTTTTAACAAGCTGGTCTTCCCTAAGGCAATTACCTTAAGGCAGTATAGAAGGCATGGCTGCAGAGAAAGTTCCATGCAATTCAGAGCAGGATAGCCTCAAAAACTGTCCTGCCCTCTCACTGGAAGTGAGCGTGCACTCCACTTCTTTAACAATGCCACAGCACCAGCCAGAATTGGCAGGATGCAGGTGAGGTCAGGGCCAAGTTCCTCTGACTCATGACTTGACTGGAGTGGTAGAAATAGGACCATGTCACTTGGGTTCCCTCCAAGGCTCCATCTGGCTTTGCTGGGTCTTTAGGCATCCCCCAGGGTACTAGTCTTGGACTTTACATTCTCAGGAACATTCATGATCTTGGGTCTTGGCAAATTCTTTTAGGACTTTTGCATTCTCATTGTACCACATAGATAACAGTGAACAGTTACCCCTGCTGGTAAAGGGTCTGATTTCTAGGCGAATATATCAGCCTTATGTGAGAGCAGTTGGTGAGTGCAGGGTTTTCTTGGCTGCCCCTCATCAACATATACTTCTTCTGATGGAGGAAACCACAGACAGAAGGAAAAATGTGGGCAGTTTGTTGATATCCTCTGGGATATGCTAATTCTCCCATAATAATTTTTACCCAAATCCCATTCATCTTTGAGGAAACAAATAACTGTATTACCTTGTGTGGGCCGATATGATACCCGGTAGTAATCAAAAGATGCAACAGGAGGGCTCCAGGAGACCATCAATGAGTCCTTGGTCACATTGCTAATTGTGATGTCTTTTGGGGGGTCAATTCCTACAAGGACCCGGGTGGTGGTGGAAAAAAGACAGAAAGCACAGTGTGAAAAAGGAATTCCTATTCCTGGTTCTATGTGGACCAAGAATTGATCATGTCCCAGAGGCACACAAGACCTTACTGTGTACTGTTGTTGTTATCTGCTGCTGTGGAGTTAGCACTAACTCATGGAGACCCACGCACAATGGAATGAAATGCTACCTAGTCCTGTTTCATCCCCATGATAGGTTGCAGATCAAATTATTTTCATCCATAAGGTTTTCACCAGCTGATTTTTAGAGGTAGATCACCAGTCTTTCTTCCTTGTCTCTCTTAGTCTGGAAACTCTGTTGAAATCTGTTTAGCATGATAGCAACACACAAGACTCCACTGACAGACAGGTAGTGACTGCATAGTAGGGCATTCTTAAAATCATTTCAGGCCATAGTATCAACTGAAACTTCATAGGCATGGCCAAAGTCATGTCCACGGAGAATATTTAAACAACATAAAGCCTAGCTGGCGAGATCTGTGGCTGTGCAACAAATACTACCTATCTGAAGGCCATCCGAAAACTTCCCTTTACATTCATATGTTTTGTTTTGAACTTGGAATAGGAGTAATATGGCCATTTTCTCTGGGGGAGCTTCTCTTGGACAAATCAAACTCCGCCTCAGTCTTTTATTTTTTTTTTGTCAGCCACCTTTGGTTCACTTTGGAAGAACTGCCTATTGATTGTGGAGGGATTTCAGAGCACAAGTCCAGAACAAATCCACTTTCCTAAATTGTATTTCATTTATGCTGTATGCTTCATTTTTACATGCTGTGAGATGGCAGGGTCAAAATCAGTTGGCTGTTTAATCCGCTTGTACAGCTTGTAACTTCTTGTCAGTACTTAGGAAACTACTCAAACACACATGTCCTCACCAACATGCACACTCATATTTGGGATTGTATTTGGGAATGATGAGATGGCCATCTAACCCATATCAAGGTGCCTGTGTTTTCTAAGCCATGTACAAGTAGATCCTACTTTCTGAGTGCCACATCACCATGTGGTCACACACTAGTTCCTCTGGTTCTGAGAAAGCATCAATTGCATCAGTGACCTTGCTTAGCAGAGAACCATATAAGCTAATCAAGAGATGGCTCTCCAGAATAGGAACAGGAGTTTCCTCACTGTACATGGGATTCCTCCCAGGCTGGTAGTGGAAGGACCTCCGGAACAATGTATTCAAGCTCTGCCCTCTTCAAGATATTGGGTCTATGCTACCTTCCAGATAGGAGTTTCCCATCTTGTGCATCTTGTGTGGCACTGGAAGAAGTAGGTGTATCAGAACAGCTCACAGACCCTCTGTAGCCAAATGAAGCAGTCCCCGACTCCCTGGGTGTTTCTCGTTTTAAAATTTCATGGATTTTTCAAAGGCTACTGAGTGAACTCCCTTCACAACCTGCTGTCAAGCCCTCCAGCCTCACCTGTGGTGATGGAGCCCACAATTGGCTCAGAGGTCACCGTGCCATGGACAGCCACCAGGTTCACAATGTACTCAGTGGCTGGCTGCAGGCCCATCAGGACAGCATGCCTCTTGGTGGCATCCAGGGAGACCTCTAGTATCTCTTCCTCTTCATCCCGGGGGCTGTAGTTCAGAATGAGTCTGTCTGCTGGAGGGGATGGGTCACTCCAGGTGATGTTCACGCTGGAGGAGGTCACGTGAGAAAAGTGCAAATGGGAGATGGGGCGGAAACCTGCCAAACAGAGGAGATGGATGGTTCTGAAACACGTGTGAAGTGGTGGGGCCACTGGGCTAGGACAGCTGCCTGACTCCAGGGATCGTCTCTCCTTGATAACAAGGGCTACACCTTCACCAGCTGACCTGGAGTCTTCACCTTCTCACTCTCCAGTCCTGGCCACTCCCATTTCCCCAGCTACATACTGAAAGATGAATGCCCTCAGCAAAGGAAAACCAGAATTACCTCTGTGAGTTATTCATAATACTGATCCAGGATTGAAAATTTCTATCCTGGAAGGAATTTAACATGATCTCATGGATATACTGAATGTCCACTGATTGAGTGCAGGCAGGGGAAGATGGACAAATCAACAATTATATCCAGGCTATAGGAAACCAGACACAAATTTTCAGAGGTTTGGCACACTTATTCCCCTCTCCCTTTTCTTCCAACCACTCCCTCTTGATGTATTTATTAGTTTTTCCTCCATCTCTTCTTTCTCTACTCATTCCTCCCTTTTCTAAAGGAAATGGGCCATTGGGAGAGAAGGTTGCCTGTGACCTGCTCACACTGAGTGAGATCTGCTGATCCCTGAACCTGGCTGGGTGGGATCTGGGAGCCCCCATGGGGTTTCTGCTGCCTGGTACCTGTGAAGGCATCCACCGTGGACTCCAAACTCTGCTGCCGGCCCCTCTCAGCGGTGATCGATATGATGTACTCTGCCCCGGGTTCTAGGTTTGTCAGTGTGTACGAGGTCTTGTCCTTGGGCACAGTGACTTCGGAGGCGATCCCAGAGGATGGGGTAAATGTAATTCGGTAGTGATCAATGGGGCCATTGGCCTTGGTCCAGATGAGGGAGATGGAGGTCTCTGAGGAGGCTGTCACCATGAGGTCTCGGGGACTGTCAAGTTCTGTGGATCAACACAAGTGGTCTATTTTACACAGGTCCCACAGAGGGGCCGGTAGTAATTAGACCACACTTAATCCTGAGGGATTCTAAGCTATCAGCAGGCCTGCCAACCATGAGGATTAGCTTGTCATTGCTGACACTTATCTCACACTTTGTTAAGCACCTTCCCTTGGAAATACAGCCAGGAGCTTGGCAAACAGATGGACAAGCCACAGAAAGGCATTACTAGCTCAGACACGACTGGAATACATCCACCTCTGGAACAAAGCTGGCTTCTGATTTTCAAGCTCTCCAGATTCATTTTCTCCCAGGTTTTCTCAGTAAGCCAACCAGGGCAAACCATGAGCCAGCATCAAGTACGGATTTGCCATTCCTCGTAACAGTAGCTACTTCGCATCCCTGGGCCATTTTGACTTGGCCTAGCTATGAGTGTGTAGGCAAGTAGATCTGTGGACTCCTGGGGCTTAGGTCTAGATTGTTTTGACCTCACTAGGAAAGGATGTCTACGCTAGACAATTTGGGATTGGTGCCAAATGCTCAGCTCCAGCTCAGGCTGCTTGTACCTAAGCTACTAGAGTGACTATAATTTACCCAGAATTAGGAAGCAAGAATGCTAGATCTAAAGAAGCAAGAGTCTCAAGTGTAGTCTTCTATTTTCTTTGGATTTAATGGGTTTTTTCCCAAGTCTAGACTTCCATCCCAGTGACCTGTACCACACAAGTGCAGAGTGAGAGACATCATTGCTTAGATGACTAGATAAATATGACTTGATATATATATATATGTATATACACACACACACATACACACACACACATTATATATGTATGTATGTGTATATATATGTATACAACCATCTGTGCTCTGCACAGTCCTGGGCAGTCCTTTGTACCATAGGGGACCATACACAGATTTATGGAGAATAGGAAGGACTCCATCCTGCATGTCAGATATCAGAGGTTAAGCACAGGAGAATCAAAGGTTGCAGGTGGTTGTTTTTCCTCAGGCTGATAGTTATCATCCAGGGAACTGTTCACTGGATGCATTATCTTCTGACCAACCCTTGCCAGGACAAGCTTCCATGGCTTCTTGGGGTTACATATATCCTGGTCTTCCTCACCAATCCTCCCACTCACCAGTCCTGGCATTCATGGTAGCTGGTACACTCTGCTGTGAGTTCATGATGGCAGATATTCCAACCCCATACTCAGTGCCAGGCACCAGATCTGTTGGTAGATACAGAAATACAAAACATTACTCTGCATGTGTGTGTGTGTGTGTGTGTGCGCGCGCGCGCGCGCGCACCTGTGCGTGTGTGTTAGGGATGGAGGAAGTCTTAATGAAGGAAGCAAATGATCTTAGACTCCTATTTAGATATTATTTTTAGTCCTTCCTGAATCCTCTCTTAATTTTATCTATTAGGAATTCCTGATTTCACCACTTAGGAAATCCATACCATGTCAATAGGATGAGCCTGGCCAGCGCAGAATTTCCTTCTTGTTGCTGGTCACCTCAAGAAGGCAGTGAGGACGCTCTTGTCCGTGACCTTCAGAAGTATGCTCTCCTGTGGAAGGCCTCCCTGTGGTACTCAGTGTCTCAGGTTGGCTAGAACTGGTGAAGGAAGTTTTTGCTTAAATTGTGAATTGAGGACTGTGTAATTGAGAAGAATTGTGTGGACATGGGCCTTTGAAGCATTTCTTGAATATTGTATATGAGGACCAAGCTGCATCTTTTGTACATAGGGGCTGAGGCCATATGGGGACTCCTGGGTCCCTTCTAAGGAACATCTGTGGATGGACTTTCTCTCTGAGCACAGGGCTGTCAGGTTTTTAATGTAATGGGATGCAGAAGCCCTGCTGCTGTGGGTTCCCTACCAAGGTCGATAATTAAGGCCGCAGGGTATTTAAAGCTAAGGGTTTAATCTTAGGATGACTTCTGGGGGACTGAAGTAAGATGGAGGAAACACTAATATTGTCCAGCTAAAGGAAATAATCCTCTCTGGGGAAATATTGGGGGTTCAATTCAACCGAGTATTGGCGGATGGCTCCAGAAATACCTGGAATTATCTGGTATCTCTCCTAACCTTCTTCCACATTCTTTTTCAGACTAACTTGTTTAACTGGTACATTAGTTTGCTAATGCTGCTGTAACAAATTACTACAAACTTAGTGGCTTAAAATGACACAGATTTATTATCTTATAGTTCAGGAGGTCAGAGGTCTAAAATGGGTTAGCATGGCTGTGTTCCTTCTGGAGGTTCTAGAGGAAAATTTGTTTCTTGACTTATCCAACTTCTAGAGACTGCCCGCATTCCTTGGCTTGTGGCCCCTGCCTCCATCTTCAAAGCCAGCAGCATAGCGTTTTCTGACAATCTCTCTTTCTCTTCTCTCTCTCTTTCTGATTCCGATCCTCCCCTACCTCTTATAAGGACTCTTATGATTACATTGGGCCCACCGGGATAATTCAGGATAATTTTCCATCTTAAGAGTTTAACTTAATCACATCTGCAAATTTCCTTTTGCCATGTAAGGTGACAAATTCATAGGTTCCAGGGATTAGGATGTGAACATCTTTGCCAAAAAAACAAAAAACAAAAATAAAAACAAATCCATTGCCGTTGAGTCAATTCTGACTCATAGTGACCCTATAGGACAGGGTAGAATTGCCCCCGTGGGATTTCCAAGGAGTGGCTGGTGGATTTGAACTGCCGACCTTTTGGTTAGCAGCCAAACTCTTAACCACTGTGCCACCAGGGCTCCTGAACATCTTTAGGGGCCATTATTCATCCTACCATATTGCCATCAAACTCATCTTCATTTATTAGGACTGGAAGTGTATAAAAATGCACCCAAGATAAAATCATCACCCTTGAGGGTCTCCCATTGTCAGTCTGAGTCCTTCTGATAGGCTTTTTGTGGGGCTCTGTGTGTGCACCCTAGAACCATGGCTGATTTTAGTCCTATTCCGCACTTATACAACACTTGTGCTTTTCAAAATACTTGAATGTGTTTTGAGCCTCAGCATGACCTTTTGAAGAAAGTAGGATGAATAGTCTTTTCTCCATCTTTTTATAAAATGAAACTGAGGTACAAAGTATGTCTGCCACCAGCTGGAGAAGTCATCCAGCTTTCTGACCTCAAGGTTCAGGGCTTTTAGGAGGATTGGGATGCCCCTTGGGGCAGCTTGACTTCCCTGGGATCCTTGAGGTAATGTGAATGATTTTGAGAGAAAATGCATTGATCAGCCTTTTCTTAACATGGCTTGGTTTAACCAAGGGAGTGTTGCAGGGTAGCCTGAAGGTTCTGTACCCCCTCCTCTCAGTATGGCTTTAGCTCAGCCCATGCAGTACATAACCCCATGCTTGAGCATGGCAGAATCTAGCAGGTCTTTCTGACCTAGCTCCATCAAAAGAATGAAGTCCCCAAACCCTGTCTTGGGGGGTGTTTCAATCAGCCACCTTTTTTCTTTCTTGAACTAGCTCTATTCCTTTCCTAATCCTTAGTTCTTTCTTTCTCTGAAGGTCAACACAGGTGGAGGTAAAAGCACCAGACTTTGAAGTATGACATACCTGTGTTCATTTTCAGGTTTTGCCATCTTCTACGTGTGTGACCTTGATTACTTAACATCTTTCAGCTCCAGTTTCCATACAATGAGAATTACAACAGTATCTATCTCAGAATGTTATTGTGAGGATTAAATGAATCAATGTGTGTAAAGTATAGTGGTTGGCCCAGAAGGTAGCTAATAGTATTATTACCTTGCTCAGAGAACTATTTTAGGATTTTTAAGTCCATTCTTTGTGGGTGGTCTCATTAGCTATAAAAAGTGCCCCACACAGGTATGCAGGTTGGTTCTAGGTATACCTGTTGTTGTCTGTTGGCTAAGGCTTAAACTGTTGGCTCTGGGTGAAAGCAATGATTCAGCGAGTCCAGGTGTCAGTGAAGAGCTTGCACCTAGCTGGGGCCAAGTGGCTGACTCTAGATTGAGTGAGTGATTGCAACACCGCCGAATCTGTTGAAAGCACACATTTATCTCTGCCGATACGTTAAGCAAGTCCCAGGTACATCCTTGGTTGGAGAAATTAGATTACCTTTGGGACATAAACTACTTTTCTCAGACAACTGATTGAGACCTTCAGTTGCCTATAATGAAGTAGAAATTCTGCGATGTAGATAAGGATGACAGATTGAGGGAGTAAGACAGAAATTATATGTTGCCAAACGGATCTAACACGTAACGCTTTCATCCGAGTTTCTTATTTATGAAGCTTAAATGACGTGTTCAATAATTTACAACAGAATCATCTTCTCCCAGAAAACTTCAGAGCAGAATTTAAAGCTCTCTCTTCCCAGGCTTTCTGTCTAGGGGGTGGGGAAGTGGGACTCGCTTATAGGTTTGTGCCTGCTGCTTTCCTTTGATTTTCAGCCACTTTCTTCCTGTGCTACAAGTGAATTGTTGCTCTTTGCCAGCAGGTAAAACACAGTTCTACTGGAAAAGAAAATGTGTATCCAAGGCATATTCAGTATACTTATACAACAGCACTCTGAGGACTCGGAGAGATTTCCCATTGCTCTTCATCAATGCTCCTTTTATCTTTCCATCCAACTCCTGAAAGTGGTAGCATATACATGGCTCTATTCTCTTTCTTAACAGCAGCTCAGAAAAATTATCCCTTAGGAAACCACCACTTTCCGTTCCTTATTGAACCTCCTTTGTTCAGCTTGGAGGTTGACTCCTTTCCAACTATTTCACTGCACACCTATTCTTCTCTGAACTCTTAAAGCACACCATTCATTCACTCCACAAACACTACTGAGTGCCTCCTTTGTGCCAAGCACAAGGCTCTGTACTGGGGATACCAGGGTGACCTGAAGGACATCAGCCTTGCCCTTAGGGAGATGAAAAGGAACCTGTGCTAAAGAAGTCAATTATTTATTGCGTGCCCATAATATGCCAAGTACTGGACAACATGCAATAGGTAATCTAGAAGAATAATGAAGAAGGAAGGGAGGAAATGAGGAAGGGGTAAAGGATTTTTGAGTGTCTGATGGTAAAGAGTACTGTTATAACTATAGCTTCTTAGAGATTCCTACCTGTTATCTTATTTAATCCCAACAGTAGCTTTGCCAGGAGGATATTGCTGATGAGCAAACAGAGGCTCAGAAGAGAAGTCTACTCTTTGACCAAGACCATGAAGCTAATGCATGCTAAGACTGGGTTTGGAATCCAAGTCCCTTGTTCATTCTGCCACACCACAGCATGGCCCCTGTCCATAAGAGTCTTACAGTCCAGTAGTGGGGAATGGAGTAATCATATTGGAACTTGAGAGTAATTTGATCCTACGCCTTGGGCTGCTGACTAAGAAAGCTGTTTCTGTGGGGAGAAGAGATCAGCATGGGCTGGAATAGCCAGAGAAGGCTTTCTAGAAAAGGGGCTTGAGTTGTACCTTGAAAGCTAGCCAAGATTAGGAAAAGTAGAGAGAAGAAAGTATGGAATCCTGCGGTGGTCAGGGTGAGGCATAGTAAGCAGTGATTTCTCACCTGTACTGCAAGGACCACGGGTGATAAAACCAGAATGACTTCCCTCTGTTTAGGAAACCTAATCTGTATGCTTACTGCTACCAGTGGGGAAAGCAGTATGGAGGAGGGCCAAGTAACTGAGACTGCTGTTTCTTGCCAGCAAAAACATTACACTTGTGGTCCGCAGGTTGGGTTCAGGTAGCCATGTGGACATATGGACTTTTTTCATCTCTAAATCCCTGGGCTCATCCCCCAAGTGTCTGTGAAAGTTCAAGTCTACCAAAGTAAGGTTAAAAATTTGGTTGGCCCTAGTGTATTGGACACCTGCCTTCACAGGGAGGAACAAACTGAAGACCCTGCCCCCAAGGAGCTTTCAGTCTAGCAGGGGATACAAGAAAGTCCATTAATTACAACTCAGTGTAATTAGCACCATAGCAGAGCATTTGCTGTTTGTAATCCTTCTCCCTTATAGTGGTCAGAGTATTACATTGTTATTGTTAGTGCATATGTCTGTCTCCTCACTAGACTCTGAGATCTTTGGGTCAAGGGATTTAAAAAAAAAAAAAAAATTTTATCTTCAGTATGAAGCATAGTGAAAAAATAGATGAGACATAGAAGCAGCATGGTTACGGCAGTGGTGGTGGGTAGTGTTGGGAAAACTTCCAAGAGAAGATATCTGAGCTGGGTTTGAAGGATCAGTGGAACTT